TTTGCCTCTTCATCTAGCTAGTCAATTATTTGAAATATGAAGCATATACATGCAATGTTAGACTACTGGTAATTACAAATAATGGTAAAATTATGACTACAAATATTTTTATTAATACCAGTAAAAGTACATTATTTTTAAAACAAGTAGCTAGAGACAGAACTTTAAGATGTTATTTTCCATGGTTCTATTTAATTTGCATTCCAAACGTTTATGATCAGGGTCAGAAAATAATATCAGTAGTGATTAACATTAGATGATTGATACATACCAACAATGTAAATTTTTGGATTTAGTTTCCAGAGTACATGGGGATAGCCTAGATACATCAAAAATAGTAAGGAGGAAGACCCAAAGAGATACGGTCACTCATAATAAGCCAAAAATGCAGTTACCTCCCATGTTGGAACCTACTGTATCGGAGTCCAGATGTTATAACAATGAGTACGATGTCAAATGGAAATAATACTATTTATAGTCACATTTTATGGGAAGACCAATCCAAATTTCTTTGGTGCTAAAACAGAAAATTTCTGTAACTTATTTAATAAAGGTAAGTTATATTATAATGCAAAAAATATAAGTTAACTATGAATCAACTATGATAGCCATTCGGAACATGTGTATTAACAGAATTAAATATGCTCCTGTGTTGCTTCCTGTTGATCTCTATGAATGGAGAACCTGTGTCTAGAAAAACTTTAAGTGGTATGAGAAGGAAGGAAAATACTTTATAGTATATTCCTAAATGAAATAGCTGAAATAATTGTTTTAAATAAAAAATTATTGCCTACAATTTCCTTAATTAAACAGAGACTCATTCTCTTATGAAATATACAGCTGCACATTCTTAGGGAAGAGCTCTGAAAAGGCTGTGATTGACAGGAGTACCACATTGAGATAATCTGCTTATGAATGCTTAGTTACAGATTTCATGTCCAAGTTACCAAATGAGCTATTTGATTTTCAGTCAGTCATGTGTTACCTCTCTACTCATAATAAAGGAGTAACTGTCAGATAAAAACATGCTACTTGGCAGGCTATGCTGCTTTTAAAAACATTATGAAACCCAATTGCCTAAAGTGGAAGCCTAGAAGACATGCCATTCCTTTGCCTTTCCTTCATCATCCATGTCATACAGATGCTGGAAACTTCTCTACAAATCTCCCTGGCATCTCTAAAAGTCCTCTTCTCTCTCCATCAGGGTGGCATCACTGAGCCTCCACCCCACCTCCAATCTTACCCTATCCCATCTACACTTTATCTTCCCATACATAAACTGCTCTGGTGCTCTAATGTGGGTATCTTGCTCCTTCAAGTAACACATTATTATTATTTAGCTCAGCCTGGCTCATGTTCTTGTTTCTTCACTCTATGATTTAAACCCTCAGTTGAGGTGCCTCCTAGATACTGTATGTACCTTGCTTCTCAAAAGATGCTGGTCTTTGAGTAATGTCCTTCTCTTCACTGCTACTTGCCTTCTTACTACTGCTTCTCCTTCAACACTATCCTCAGAGATCTTTCTTTTACAAAACATTTCAGGTTCAGTTTTTTTTTATTATAAGTCCACTCCTTTTCTATGGAGCTCTAAAAGCCTCATACCTTAAATACATCATTTGTAACACAATTCGCTAAGGCCAAGTGAAGGCAATGTGTTGCTTGTGTATGGATTCTCATAGCCTGTCATAAGTGGTACACAGTAGACACAAAACATTGCAAAATTTAACAGAATAAACCAAGTTGAATGTCTTAGCAAGACTCATCTTAAATAGTATTTACTAAGAAAATCAAACGCTAAACAAAAGAACAGAAATGAAATAAAATGAATAGTGCCTTAAACAATTGAAATTTCAACTTCAAAGTATTTTCAAACCCATGATCTAATTAAAGTATATGTGACTGTCTATATACCATATCCATGCAATACAATTACAGCAAATACAGCCCTTTTCATGTAAGCATACCAAAAAGGCCGACTTTACTTCTGACTTTACCACTGTTCCTAGTAACAGATGGCCTGACTCTTAGACCCCAAAATAGACAGTCTGACAATAAAGTGCCTAAAAATCACAGATGTGACAGAATAGGGTATAAAAGGCCAATAAACCCTCAAACTTTAGCCCCATATTCCAAGTGCAGGTGCATCATCCCACAGGAAGGCTGGAATCCAGTCCTGGCTCCAGCCAGCCCTTCATCCAAGCATTTCTGAAACCTTTCCACCTACCCACCCTCCACTAAGTGCTTTCTAGGCTTTCTTTTAGAGTGGTACCAAAGGGAATGTCTTCCAGACCTGCTCAAGGGCAAATGTGAGGGGGTGGGGCTTACTTCTTTTTCCTCATATTTGCTCTGAGTATTGAAGGTCTATTTGGTGCTTTGGTGCTTTACCCTTACCACTGGATAGCAGATCCAGACACATCAAGTTTAAACTTTTACATAACAACCATTTTCTTCATCAGTATCCTCTACCTGAGTTACTTAGCTCTCTTGATTCAGAGGTGACAACTCCCCGAGCATACACTCCAGTTAACATACTCTGTTTCACAGAAGTACTCAAAGCTGTTTGTTGCCACTTGAGGAGCTGCTGCAAACTGGGCAGTTTTGTATAATTCAAAATACTAAGAATCCATCTTAAAACCTCAGCTGTAAACTCTTATCTTGTTTCTTCATCTAATAGACATATTCAAGTCTGCTATTTTTTTTCTTTTAAATTTATCAACATATAAGTTAATAGTTTAGAAAACAATGATTTTTTCCAGGAAAAAGAATCATGTATCCATATGTATGTGTGCACATCTTATCATCAAGTGGAAAAACCATTCATCTGTAACTCTAGTGCTGCTACAAGCCTCTGGAGCTTTACCACACAAAGTATTTTGCAAACTTCTAATGAGATTCCCTTTATGAGTTTTAATTATCACAAAATGGATCTATACTAATCTGTGATTCCTGTGGAGCACCCTAGAATCTGATCCCAAGATTATTCTAATTTGGAAATCTTGCCAACTTTAAATTTTATCAGTCAATAACTAAAAATATTGAAATACCTGTTCTTATGAATGGCCAATATTGGAATCCTAAGGTAGGTTTTTATTATCAACTTTACTGTCACATTAACATACTGTATTTTCCGTTGTCTCAAGAAAAATCAGTACTTCTTTTCTTTCAAATGTAAACCTACAAAACATAAAAAGCTGAATCATTTTGCACAGAGGTCCCTTGATTAATAATAAAGATATGTCCTATCTTCCATTATATTGAAACTAGTTAAGTTAAAATTGAGCAGCCCCAGCAGCCAGTCAGCAGGTAAAACTCCTACAGGCAGACTCCTCCACCACTCCCACCCATTCCCCTGCCAACCAAACCCCCAGGCATCAGAGCCTCCACCCTCCAGAGTCACAGGATCCACCTCCACCAAATGGAAGAGGAATCAACACCTGAACCTGTAATTACCCCAAACCCAGACCGTAGAGTAAGAATACATTTCAACAGCATAAAGAGCAACACGGCTCTTCACCTGTGAACATCCCAACACAGGTAAAGCAGAAGAAAACGACCTTTAAAATAACTATTGAAGACAATAGAGGCTCTTAAAGAGGAAATGAAAAATTCCCTTAGAGAAATTGAGGAAAACAACAACAACAAATGAAAGAAATCAATAAAACCCTTTAAGGTCAAGAAAAATCAATCAAACAGGTGAAAACATTTTAAGAAAACTGAAATATAGGCAATAAAGAAAACACAAAATGAGGGAATTCTGGAAATGGAAAATTCTGAGTAAATGAACAGGAACTACAGATGTAAGCATAACCAACAGAAACATGAGATGGAAGACAGAATCTCAGGCATTGAAGATACAATAGAGGAATTAGATTCATTAGTCAAAGAAAATGTTAAATCCAACAAAGTCTTAAAATAAACTATTCAGGAAATCTGATATATCAGGAAAAGACTGAACCTAAGGGTAAAAGGGATAGAAGCAGAAGAAATGCTAGATCAGATGCACAGAAAATACATTCAACAAAATCATAGAAGACTTTCCCAACCTAAAGAAGGAAATGCCTATGAAGATACAAGAAGATCATCAAATAGACTGAACAACTACAAAAAAGAGTTCCCTTTCCATACAATAATCAGAACATTAAACATACAGAATAAAGAGTAAATATTAAGAGCTGCAAAGGAAAAGCGCCAAGTAACATATAAAGGCAGACCAATCAAAATTACACCTGACTTCTCAAGGGAGATGCTGAAAGGCATAAGGTCCTCAACAGACATTTTGCAGATACTAAGAGACCATGGCTGCCAGCCCAGACTACTATACGGAGCAAAACTTTCAGTCACCATAGAAAAAGAAAACAGATATTCCATGAAAAACCAGTTTTAAACAACACCTATACATAAGTCCATTCCTATAGAAAGTAGTAGAAGTAAGCTAAAACTGCATTTAATATGCTCACTATACAACACATAGCTTAGCCACACAGTGCCCAGTTCCTCTTGTGACTGCTAAGGGTGCACTGCACTCCAACATTTGACAAAAGCATCATCATACCACACATCATGAGAAAGACAGAACAAAGAAATAAAATTCAAAGTGTATCTCTACTACATGCATATCACTTTTCAAATTCCATAAAATAAAATATAAATTGAACCATGATAGACTAGAGACTGCCTATAAGTTTAATCCGTTTATTTATATCATGTGTTATGCAAATTAGAGATAAATGTTTAATAAACAGACTCTGAGTAGATCCTCAATATTATTGCATTTTACCATTAATTCAATATCTGGAAGAAAAAATGTTTCTTGCTATCAGTGGCCAACCAATATATGAATCAGAGTTTAGATTCTATACCAGAAACACAGTACCTCTCAATCAATGGAAATATTTTCTTCTCTTCACATATGAGTAATGATGCTGAGAAGTATCTCTATCTACAACATGCATTTCCTAGTTATTAGAAAAAGTGTGACTTTCATTCACTGGAATGTGAATGGAAGTAATAAGTATCATTTCCATGAATGATCTAAGGAATTCCCCTAATGGGATGGCCCTGGTTGATCCATTTTTTGTTAGAGATAAAGACTCCAAATTTACCTGGATGCTGCTTGTGAGAGGATAAACACTGATCTCAGGAGCGCTGAATAAAGCAAGAAGAGTTTAGCAATTACACTGAATTTTATAGAGTGCTCAGTACAACAAAAAATGTGCTAAAATGTATGACAATGTATATTTGAGTTTATTGGTAAAGTTTCGTGTACAAATGGAAATTTTATCCCTTTCTGAATGCATAGTTCATCATACTCCTTTTGTATATTCCAGGTAGTCTCCAGAAAGAGTAGTATATTTGAAATTAGTTTTAAAAGAATTCTCTCCACTTTCAATTATGAACAAAATAAAAACTTGTGGAATATAATTCCCTTATTTAGACACCACACCTTCCAAGACATGATTCACTTTCAGTATGTTGTTTCTCTTACTTTCTCAGTATCCCCACTTGTGTCATTTCCATTACCCTACCTAAATTTTGAAATCGTGGTATTTGAAGCACTTTATTAGGATGATTTAAACAAATCACTGTGTCAGTTCATATTCCAAAAACACACTTACCCGCTATGGCACGAATCGGTGTTCTCCATAGGTCTGTGTGTTGAAGGTTTGGACACCATCCCATGGCACTCTAGTGATCTGAAAGGAATTTTAGAATTAAGGTGTGCCGTAGACAAAGATGTACCCAATCCTTGCCCTTCTCAGTCTCATTTGCTCTCTGGCCACAATGAAGTGAGCTGCTTTCTGCACTTCACATTTCCACCATGATGTGCTTGTGGTCACAGGGTTAGAGTAATGGGGCAACTGAGAACCAAAATTATATGTTCTAAGTTGATTATCTTGGGTACTTGTTACAGCCACAGAAACTAGACTAATATACTACCCAACACAGAAATATAGTCTTTGGGGAAGAGATGGTCTCAAACAATTTGAGTCTTGAAAATTTCTGTCTGCCTCAAAAGTCCAGAAAAGTGACAGCATTGGTACCAAGCAAACAGGGGTCACAACTGCTTCATCATACACCTGTCCTCCTCTTTACATCTCTCATAAATGACCTCAGCCTGACCCAGATTTAAGCTTCACATCATTGTTCTGGTGTGGCAGTGGCATTCTGTCCTGTTTCTCCTAACTGCTTCATTTCTTCTTGTTTGGTTGGAAAGATGAGGATGATGTATTTTTCCAAGACCTGATGTATTTTTCATGACTTTTCTTACAGTCTCAGTGAAGGCAAATAACCCTCAATGAATTTAGTCTATCAATAAATTTATCATTTGAAATAGATAAAGAAGTAAGGAATTTCCAGATAGGCACTACTGAGATATTTCATGGTCACTGAACCAGCACTTTAGAAGATGTTCTCAGAAAAAAAGATGGTCTTGATCATAAAAGCACAGGAAAGAATAAATGTGAGAGGAAAAGAACCACAAAGGAGTACTGGGAAACAATCCATTGTGTCTGAAACTATTACTAATACTAATACCAAATACTAATAGGTGAGAAAGCAGAGAACAAGCAATAGTCAAAACAACCAACACAACTATAAGGATTAATCAAAATCTTTCAATAATCACATTAGATGAAATGGCTTCCATGTACCATGTACCAATAAAGATGAGCACAGTAGTTGAAGGGATTAAAAAACTAAATTTAAATATCTATTGTGTTAAAGATAAAGCTACACTGTTTAAGAAAAAAATCACAAGCCCAGGTCTGGTAGTGTACACTCAGGAGACAAAGGCAGGTGGTTATATGAGTTCAAAGCCAACCTGGTCTACATTGCAAGATCCAAGTCAACTAGAGCTACAAAATGAAACCTTGTCTTGAAAGCAAAACAAAACCCAGAATGATAAAGAAAGCTGATTAACACTTCCTATACAAAAAAGAAAATGAGTTATCAAAAGACATAACAATTTAAATGCCCACAGGATGCTACTTGTATTAGCTAAGAAATAGCAGCAGCCTAGATGCCCATCAACAGATAAATAAGGAAAATGACATATGTATGAATAAAAATTAAATCATGATACTGTGTTAGGTGAGATAATTCAGATTCTGAAAAAAATTCTTCATATTTTCTTCCACATATGGACTCTAGATTTATGTGTGCATGCATGTGTGCACTCGTGCATGCATATGTGTGTGTGTGTGTGTGTTGCATTGAAAGTGGAAGGATAGCATAATATGGGAGGAAGGGATTCCAAGATGACTGAAATAGGATGAAAATAGAGTGATGGAATTATGGAATTACATGGCATAAAAACAAGGGAAGACTATTGATGTAGGTAGGAGATGAAAGAGAGGGCATGGGGTCAATGACGTACAGAAGTGGAGAAGAGGGGTGAATCAGAACAAAGTAAAATGGATTGTGTGTCTACAGATGTGAATGTGCCATAAGCATATTCATCACTTTTTATCCTAACTTAAGAAACTAAGTTTAAAAACTTTAAATTAAGAATTCTAGAGTTCTAGAGTTCAAACACATGTTCTTGTAAATCCTATTTTACTCAAGAAATACAACCAAAAGCTGGGCGTTGGTGGCGCACTCTTTTAATCCGAGCACTCAGGAGGCAGAGGCAGGCAGATCTCTGTGAGTTCAAGGGCAGCCTGGTCTACAGAGCGAGTTCCAGGACAGCCTCCAAAACAATACAGAGAAACCCTGTCTCGAAAAACCAAAAAAAAAAAATACAACTAAGGAAACCCACTGCAGTGTTATTAGATGGAATTAAGGATACCCACTGCAGAGTTATTAGATGGAATCAGTATTTTCACTAGATCACTAAATTATTCATATGCATACTAAAGCAAGGTTTAAAGACAAAACTCCTAAATTCTAAGATCAGGCTAAGAAAGAAAGATATGAGTTGGAGACCAGCCTGGGTATCATAGTGAGGCATCTAATGAAAAGACAAGAGGATGAGCAGAAGGAGGAGGAGGAGGAGGAGGAGGAGGAGAGGGAAGGCGATTATTATAAAAAATAATCCTGTGGTACCTTTCTGCCTTCATGGTTGGCCCCGTTAAGGTTCTATCAGTCTTGCAGATTTCATATTGGTGACTGTTTTTAATCCTGTATTGCCTGCTCATTTTGCCTCTACAAGTTTTATTTCATTAGAAAATTTAGATATGATAAAATGCTAGAGATCCTGGCAACTCTTGATCCATTAATGTAATTTATTACCAATTTCATAAAGCAGCTAACACATATTTAATTAGTTTAACCTTACTTAATACATTTTCTCTCTTTTGTACAATTTTATAAGCATCTACTACTATGGAGAAATAATTGCAGAAATTAATTGAAGCGTTAAATAAAAGTTTGTCCTTCAACTTATGATCCTGGATGACTGTTCTATGGCTCTGATTATAGTTATTGTTTGTTTCATGGTGGCTGTTTCCTTGGCTTCGTGGAAGTATTACTTCACATTGCTGTCCTGATTTACAGTTCTTCACAGCACACTGCACTATCATCATTTCATCCAATGTGCCTGACTTTACCAGCTTGGGTCTCAGCTGATAATGTTATTCCTAATTTTCACTCTCTTGGTAAGTGAACAATCAATTTATTACACCATCATAAATGGTGTATCAGTAAGATTTATGAACTAGTATGAACTGTTTCTCAATGTACCTGCACTAGTCATGCAGAGAATTTGTAGCATATGATGCAGCGACAAATATGGGCTTTGATAAAGTTTAGACTTTCAGTGGAATTACAAGAAATGGTGTTTCTGGCTGGGCATTAATAGTGCATGCCTTTAATCCCAGCACTTGGGAGGCATAGGTAGGCATATCTCTGTGAGTTTGAGACCAGCCTGGTCTACAGAGCAGGTCCAGGACAGCCTCCAAAACAACACAGAGAAAGAGAAACCCTGTCTGGAAAAAACAAAAAAAAATGGTGTTTCTGGAAATGTGAGTGCAGACCATTACATTTTGACTGTGGAATTAATGAGACAGTTGCATTGATGACAAATGAAAGCATAATAATTAAAATGATGGCATAATATTATGTTTATGCATACATAAGTCACCTTCCTATTTGAGAGCTAAGACTTCTAAGTATTAAACTAGATAGGTCCACATTATGTTTGTGAAGATTTCTTCTGTGGGGCAGGATGCAATGTAGCCAATATGAATTGTCTTTTTAATGCATTAAGAAACAGAAACATTTCTTGAGATATTTAACAGTGCCTCTTGTATTTTAATGCTTTTTGGAGAAAGTTTTATCAGTGAAGAAAAGCAGCTTTACTTCCTACTGTGTGTAAAATGATAGCCTTTGAAAATTTTCTTCTTTATAAAAGCAGGAGATAGAAGCATATAGTTATCACACATCATATTTCCAATTGTAGCTAATGTAGATTATGTCTATTTTGACGGGTAATATGTAAAAATATATGAGTCAAAAGTTAATCTATTGAAAAAATGTTCTTAAATCTGAGGGCAAATTAACATTTTAAGAAAAAATAGAGTCAATGACTTTAAGTCTCAATTTGAATTCTATCTGACTTTAAATTTATGAAGATACAAAGTGGCAGTGTAATCTAGTTTGAAGGCAAATCCAAAACAGTTACTGTATGTTTTGTTTTGATAAGAAATTCTTCACTCAGAAGAATTTCTTAGTCATATTTTTACAATACACAGACGGAAAACTCAGGGATCAAAGAAAGATAAAGTAGGTAACTAAACTCGCAGATAATCTTAAAGGTAGCCAGTTTGATATTTGAAGTACTGAAAAGAACATTTACCATTAGAGTAACTTAAGATTTACTTATCTTTCCAACAAATGACACAGCTCAACAGTTATTCAAATTAAGCCTATAACTCATATTCATAACCTCATAATTTAACCATCTAACTTCTAACATAATATCATTCTCCAAAATAAGAATGGCCATGATGGATGATGGTCATGAAACAGAGTTCTTGACATCTTGTTTAAAGGAGTATATATAATCAGGTAGACTAGGTGAATCCAGTCTCAGGGATAGGATAGCCTACCTTGTCTAGTGGAAGGAAACACAATCAGCACAACAAATTGAAAGTAAAATATAGAGAGGTCCAGAGAAGTGAGGAGTGTGGCAGCAACCATAACCAAACAACCCCAGATACAGGGCAGCTGTACCAAGACCAAGCTGTCAGAATGCGCCCACACATAGGTTTGCTGATATAGAACCGTGTGGGGCCTGGGACCTGGATCTTTGGTACTTATCACCAGCAAATGTAACATCCCACAATTTTCCCTAAGCTACCCTCTACACTTAACAAGAGAAAATCAAAAGGAGGCAGTAAAGAAAGTAGGAGTAGGAAGGAAACAAACAGGTGGTTGAAGAGGAACACAATTTTGCTGCAGAAGCAAAGGAATGGAAACATCTAGGGCTCTTTAAAGTTATCATTACAAACCTAGGAGCTACCAGGAGGTGTGGGCAGTACATAATTTCCCACTGCGCCTTCTGCAAGAACACTTCAACTCATGACTAGCCTTCCCTGCTGTAAGAGATTTCAAGGGCAGGCCCTATAATGTATTGAACTTTTAGACTGTCCTCACAATTTTGAATTTCTCCCCTTAGTGACTAGAATAACTAAAACATTTGAGGAACTAGAAAAATAATCTTACCTTCAGGATATCCATATGTAACTGCTATGTGGGAATCTTCTGTACATGCTCCACCTGTCACATACAATTCTACATGTAATTCCCCACATTTCCACCTAAGGATGTATGTCTTAGTATCACCTTTAAAGACTCAAGCACCTCTGCACCTCTGCACCTCTGCACCTCTGCACCTCTGCACCTCTGCACCTCTGCACCTCTGCACCTCTGCACCTCTGCACCTCTGCACCTCTGCACCTCTGCACCTCTGCACCTCTGCACCTCTGCCAGTGGGCTGACTTAAGGTGGCCTTTGCCAAGGAATCTCTGTCTTCCTCTTTCCCAACTTAATGTTCCATATATTAATTTTGTAAGGCTTCAGTAAGACCTTCTGAACCACACTTTCCACCCTATTCTGTTTCCTTTTCTCTGTCGTAACTCGATATTTGGACAGTTCAAATGCATTTCTAGAGTACTTGTCAGTTTGTGTTTGGAAAGGTGCTGAAGACTTCTGTGTGAGTGCCTCCATCTTTGCAGGCCACTCCATCTGACTTCATGATATATAAGTACCCATTAGCTTATCCTTCTAATATCTTAGTAACCAAATTAAGTTTTCTTTTAATTCACTTAAACCTGTCATTTCATCATTTTACAAGGTGAAAATATTAGTTCCAGTCCCTAACCTTCAGGTCTTAATGAGTGTTTTATATTTTCTCATTATCTTTAATATCCAGCAACAAGAAGGAGAATATAGATTTTTTTTATTCTTCCTTCCAGAGGTTTCCTGAAATGTGTTGAGCTGCTATTCACTAGTATACACTGGTAAGAAAATCCTTAGTTATGATCTTTATGTGGCATTTCTTAGCTCTTCAACTGCGTTACGGTTCTCTTCCAATTTCATTCTTTGGCTACACTCTGATGGGCAATTTGATGTTGTTTCACATTGACATGGATTCCCCATTCTGTTTCTGTGTATTCTGCTTGTATTTCAACTTCAGTAAAAATGACTGACATCAAATCCCATTTACCTTTTCCCTGCAGTTTTTATTAATAACTCTATCAGAGGCAGACAGCCACAGCTAAACACTGAGCTGAACTCAAGGAACCCAGAGACGGAGAGGGAGGACTGATGAGCATAGGAGTCAAGACTGGGCTTGTTTAACCCACAGAAATAGCTGACCTGAACAAGGGGGAGCTCTTGAATCCCAGACTGATGGCTGCGAATCCAGCATGGGACTGATAGAGACCCCCTGAATGTGGGTGTCAGTAAGGAGGCCTAGGCAATCTATGAGGCCTTGGGTAGAAGATCAGTATTTATCCCTGGAATACAAATGGACTTTGGGTACTCATCCCACATTGAGGGATGCTTCATTCTTGGGGGAGGGCTTAGGCCCTGCCCTGGATGAAATGACAGATTATGGATAACCCCCATGGAGGGCTTCACCCTCCCTGGGGAAGGGATTGGGGATTGGGGAGGGGGACTGGGAGGGCTGGTGGGAGGGAGTAGAAGGAAGGGAGGGAAAGGGAGAGGGAACTTGGATTGACATGTGAAGCAACCTAGTTTCTAATTTAAATTTAAAAATAAATAAGTCTATCATAAGAATGCTTACTTTTTATTTGTATTTTCTGAATTTTTCTAGTTATCTTTTTAAGGTTTCTACTTCACTACTGAAATTTCCATATGTTCATGAGTAATTTCTAACTTTCTGCTACATCATTAAATATAATAATTGTTGTTTAATTTCTCTGAAAATTCTAACATCTCGGTCATTTCTATAAGCAGTTGCGTCGATCATCTCTTGAGTATGTTAATTTTTGCATCCTTTTGATTATGAATTTTTATTTAATGCTTATAATTAATTGTAGGACAGAAGAGTCTGAGTCATATCCTGTTTACACATGGGTTGGCTCTTCTGATTCCTTTCTTTTGTGAGATGTTCAGTCAAATTACCCAGGAGGTTAGCTAGTACATAGTTCTGTGCTCTGACCTCCAGTGCATCACAGGCTTCATGTGTTGGCAGTGGGGATGGGGCACAGACTGCTGAGTCTTATGCTTGGGATACGGTGCACTGCTAAATGAAAGTCTGACTATGTGTGTGTCCTTTATACCTGCGGCCTCATATGGATCCCTTTTCTTTATTCTTATCGAACTCCCCGCAAGACTACACTGCTGGTTTTGGTACTTAGTACTAGAACTGCTTCATCATGACAGGGTAGTGTCAGAATCATCTTGATGCAGTTTTTCTCTAAAGATGTACCTATGATCCTGAGCTTGAAAATGGGGTTTTCTCTATACCCCTTCATCTCCTTGCTCTACATTGTGGCTGTGGTGGGTGTTTTGTGAATGTGTGTTCTCTCCTTCACTTGATGGGGATCTCTGCTTTCTGCCCCACTTAGTTCAGAATTCTCAGTGTAAGAGTCTTTCTTCTTCCCACCCACCCTGGGATGGAGGCAGTATTTGCTTCTAATCATCTATAAAACCTGTAGAACTTTAAGTGAGCTGTAGGAGGCAATAACTTGGCTTCGGTACCACTTCATTAAGGGACCTGCCCTCTGAGCTATAGATTGCTCTAAATCTTTCTTAGGAGAACCTCTTAGAGTCCAATATAAAGTATTTGCAGGTAAGAATGATCTCCATTCAGTCTAGGACCACCCAGTTAAACTATCAAGTTTGTCCACACTCTACTTTTAAGAGGTTAATGAAATCTTATCTATATTCCTATTATCCACATGGAATGCCAAGTATGCAAAAGTTTTATTTCTCATGTAATTGATTTGAAACCTTAGTTCTTTAATAGGCTGAATTGAAAATTGTACAGACATCTGTGGATTTTTCTCATTATGGAAGTTGTACACCATGTAGCTTTCTGCATATTAAGCAGAGAAGAACTTCGACATCTTAACATCTTATTCTAGAAAGCTTTTTAAAGATAAATGATAATTTTAGTAAGACATTTTATTTGAAAGGCAGATAAATATACCAGTTATGCCAATGATCTCAAAATCATTTTTGCATTAGAAAACAATACTGGAGTTATAATCTACCATATGTAATTTTGAAATATGCACTTTTAAAGTCCTATTAGCATATTTACAAATGGAATTTAATCTGAAGAATCACCTGTATCAGCCTTAGAAACATTACATCCTTCCTATTACTCTCTTTTTCTAGTCTGATTGATATTGGTACAGCTCATCGATTTTTTTATTTTAATAAATTACTTTGCATAAATTTGATTTTGGGCTTCCAAGTGAAATTAAGTCCCTGACCAAATAATTTTTATTACTATATAAGATAGAGAGAGACAGACATAGGGAGACAGATTCTATTCATATCAGAATATCCCCACCACATGCCCTCATGAACCTATACATTAGAGGTTGACAATGTTTTCTAATTAACTCATTGGTAATCTGTGCCTCACATTTGCATATCTTACTGACTTTCAGGATGCATACTCTTCCATGTTATTCTTTTTCTTAACTTTCAGTTCTTACCAGATTATTTTAATTTAATATATGCTCTGTCTATTTAAAGGCCACCAAGAATACTTCATTTGATATCAGTTAAAGTACGAGATTAAGTCCTTTTTATGTAGAAAGAAAAATCTAACTGAAAAAAAGTTCACAGAATGTTTTATTATATGTGTCATAATGCATGAATGTCTCTGAGCTAGAAATGCAACAGAAATTGCAAATACAAACTACAGAGTATGAAATGGAATGAATGGTCAAACTACTCTCATTCGCACATTATCGTAGATGTCATTAGGTCTTAAGACAAACCTTCCATGACACTTCTCCCTAATATTTTCCTTCTCTATTCATCTGAATTTTTTGAAGAGTGGTCAGCTGTGATCAAAGCCAACCACATACTGACATAGCCCAGCTAAAATCAATGCTCATGAGACTTTGTGTTAGAACAATATCAATGTGAAATAAACATAGTCTGTTAAGATATAATTAAAATAATGAAACTTTGCTATTCAAATTGTCTAGTAATTCTAAACGTGAGATCTAAACATGATTGGTTCAGATATCCTCTTTCTGTACCTGTCTGCTCCACCTACCCAGAGCTCCACCTCCCGTATTCCAGTCCCACCCCTGTGCCACTTCTTGCTCTCACTCTAATCCACTTTCATCTGCTCCTCTTCCCTTAAATACGTTTTTCATCTCCTTCCTCTTGTCATTTGCAGCATGATGCTCCCTGAAGGCATTTTTCCTTTACCCTGACCAAATGATACCTTCTTGGGAGTTGACTTACCATTCCCATCACAGATTGACTGAGATTTTTTTCTTTTATTTTCCAGTTTAAATTTAGATAAGAAACAAGGTTGCTTCACAAGTCAGTTCCAGGTCCCTCTCCCATTCCCTCCCCTCTTCCCGTGCCCTCCCCCCAACCCCCCCCCGTTATCCCCTCATTCCGCCAGGGAGGGTGAGGCCCTCCATGGGGGTGTCCATAGTCTGTCATTTCATATAGGGCAGGGCCTAGACCCTTCCCCAAGAGTTCAGGGTGAGAGTACACCTCACATTGTTCTATGGGAGTCCAAAGTCTGTGTGTATACTTGGGATGGGTACTGATCTGCTACCCAAGGCTCAATAGATTCCCTAGGCCTCCTCATTGACACCCAGATTCAGGGGGGAGATTTTTTTTATTCACTGCCTATTCCTTAAAGTCACATTGTGGATCTTCAGAGCTCAGATTTGTTTTATGAATGTGGAGGACTGACAGTCTAAGGTTCATGACTCTTAATTACTGTGTCTTATGACATTTACTGGTGCTAATAAGTATTCATCTTACTCTGCAGTGATTGAAAGAAAATAAATAACACAGAATATATAGGACACTACAAAGGAGCTGAAGACAGACATGATTCCTGTCATTTATCAACCTGCATAAATTTGCCATGAATCCCAGCTAATTACCTCAGTTGTAAAGGTGGGTTAATAATATATAATGATAATAATAGTATATTTCAAGTATTGTGTGTGAACTATAGAATATTACAAGTGGATTCATGAAGACAAGCACAGGTATGTTTATGTTGTTACTTATTTCTCTTTCCTTTGCATTCTGTCCACATGGACATTAT